TTCGCTTCTCTTATGTCATTAATTGAAATCGTTAACAAAAATTTGCTAAGTAATGAAAAAAATCTTTGAAGAACATCAAAGCAAACGCAAAAATGAAAACATGTTTAAAACTATGAAAATATAAGTTTATGTTTAAATAAACATTTCAATAATTTTCTTTGTATATCCTCTAGTTTCATAATCTCGAATAATCGATACATTTTGTAGCCATTCTTGACTAGTTATCGATTAAGCGATTAGTTAATTTAGTTATTTAGTTTCATGTTCAAATAAACATCAAATGCATTAATCTATAAGCTATAGTTTTGACATTTTATGTTCACAAATAATCGATAGTTTTTGTGCCTCTTCCGACTAGTTATCGATTACATATGCCCAATTGGCGTGGACCTCTTCAAGGCGATTTTCCATAAAATCAATTTCAATTTAAAGATTTTAATCTAATTTCAATCTTTGCACATTTACCTCAATAGAACCTACAACTGGACTATTATTAGTATTTATCATTTTCGCATACAATGTGCCACAAAATGCACCATTAATTGAATACACTTCAGTTTACACTGCCAAGGACATCCTTTGACAGAGCATAAAGCATTAGTTGCCATAACTACAGTAATTCACTATAACATGGAAATCGAATAACTGCAAAAAGAAATCAGAAATGTTTTCGAGAAAGTTGGCTAGCTGGAGGGAAAATTCACATTTAAATGCTTGCTATTTATGATTTTTCTATTACAATACTCACAGAAACGCGGTGAGGGTGCTGCAGATATGCGAGCATTTTGCTTCGCTTTCAGCTCTCTGATATCAAAATGCAAATGCATGTTTCGCATATTTAATGCGTCGTGTGTGTACACGCAAATATATATTGCGATATATATATATATATATGTATAAATAGAAAGAGAGAGAATCAGGGAATAGTATATGAAATATTCTTTTTGTTACCCACAGCTGCATCAACACAATGGACCACTGCGAACCAACGGATATATCCCCCAAGCTTCCCGCACGAAACCATTCGAAAAAAAGCCCTAAGAAAAAAGCACGCATGACAAAATACCAAGTGGCAAAAAGGGAAAATATTTCGAGTTGAGTTTTCCACGTCTTTTTTGATACCCTGTAGCTATATAAATTGTTAAGAAAGTGTATTGAGAGATGAGCATAAAACTATTCACTAAAGCATCGCTGACATAATAAAGTATCGCTTAAATCATATATAGATTATAAAATATACCAAATCGGTTAAAACATAAATTGAATGGTATATTTATTGAGTTTCTGCTACCATACTTTCTGCTATATTTTGAATAATTTTTCCATTTTTCCACAAATCAAAACTAACATACATCTACAATAGGCTATAGGGTATATACGACTCGATCAGCCTCAACTAGAGCAATTCCTGCTTGCTTTTTTCTAGGTTTGTGTTCCTTTTTTTTGGTATTTTACTCTTTCGGCCAGCAATGACTTTTTACAATTTTCATATGAAATGAACCATTAAATTGAATTGGCATTAAAATTATGTGAATGTGTGTATGGCTGCTGCTGCATAGAGAAAAAGACAGATCGAGAAGGAGGGGGGAGGGGAATTCCAGTCGCTTTTGGCACTTTGCATACGCCGTCGACAACGCAACCCATCCAACTTATTTGCATTTTTATTACAACAACAAAGAAGCAGTTGGTCGCTTTACAAGAAGAAAATACTACAACAAAAAAAAAATACATATATTTTATATAGTATAAAAATGTACAAAAATAAAATAAGAAAATTCAAATAAATGTTTGTTAAGTATTTTTGAATTGAGTTTTATGCACACACACAGAGAGAGAGAGAGAGAGAGAGGCATGCGTGCGCGTGTGTCGCATTAGGCAAGTGAATTTCAAAGGGTCTGGCATCCGTGGCATGGATTGGCACACCTGCTGCTTCTCATGGCCGCAATAAAGGTAAATCGCTATGGCTGCGACAGCTGACAAGCTGAAAAAACTTAAGAGAAAATACCTCACAATTTTTTCTTTATTTTTCACGCTTGATCATCATCCATTGCAATTGCTTCAATTATCATACAGGCAATTGGCATGCCTTAAAGCATTTTAAATTGTAAATAATTAATGATCTTTTTTTTAGTAGCAAATCTGACTTTAAGGAAGAAAGAACTAATTCGCATTTAAGCAATTAAAATGCAGTAGGTGTCATATGATATGATCACACTCAAAGATATAGTTTCGAAGCTCTTTAAATAGATTTTACTTAAGCTTTAATGTATTTGAAAGCTTTTAAATTCGTTTGGAATTAAATAAGACAAAAAATTGTTTTGTTTAACTCAGCCTTTAACTATGTAAATATATGTTAGGAATTAAACTTATAAAGCTTTCCTAAAATTCTGTTCTCGAATAACGTTTCAGTTGGATATCACTTGAGGATAACCAAAGATCACATGCTGAACGCAATCTCTCAATAAGATTTTATTAAGTCGCATGGTACATTATGCTGCATTTATAAGAATTGTTTGCCTAATCAGCTTATAAAAAACAAAAGACGAAGCAATGGCAAGTTGCATTGAAATGGGCTTAAGACTAAGAGACCTGTTGGTGTAAACATATATAGATCAAATTGGCTGTTTATACAGATAGATTGCCTCGAGGGGTCGAAAATGTCTCCTCCAATGGGTTATATTTTTTGTAACAAGGTTATGTCAACTAATATCAGGCATAAGTGCGGATTTAGGTCACAGTCAAGTGCCCATTTTAAAGCCTTTTTAAGTTACAGATGCTGATCGCAATCATTGGTCTCCCAGCGACTGTTTAGCAAAACTCAAGTTTAAGTGCGGCGCTTTTCGGGTCGTTATGTGGTGAGAGAGTGAGAGTGAGAGAGGCAGAGAAATAAGTGTGTCTCACTACGAAAAACTTGAGAAGTTGTGAACTGCACGCACCACAGCAACAACAGCAATTGCGACAACAACTCAGAGTGTACGACTAGCAGGTACCCTGTACCTAACATCGTTCATTTCATATTGATATTATATTAAACAAATGATATGGGAAATTGACATAATTGGCATAAAAGATGACATAAATAATAAAAGTAACGAAGAATGAAATAAATAATAAGAACAATAAAGCATAATTAAAAATTACTACAATTAATAATTAAATAAAAATAATTATGTAAATATCTAGAAATAAATTATAACAAAAATTAAGTAAATAAGTTAAAAATAAATAACAAAAATAATGAAATTATACGAAAAATATAAAACAAATAACAAGTCTCTAATAAAATAATGAACATAAAATTGACAAGCTTATGCAGCTTTCGCTAATTAGAAAAAATAGGGGAAAAATAAAGTAAATGATAATTCACAGTTGTAACTAGTTTAAGATGTATCTCTCGACTTACACTTTTTATGGTTACAGGGTACAACAATCACCACAAAGGAAGTAGAAGAAGAAGTAGTAGTAGTAGTTGTATTGCATGCCTCTTTGAGTCAAACAACAGCCATAACAACTAGCACAACATTAGCCGAACTCGGCACTCGGTGCACGGTGCACGGTGCACGGTGCACGGTACTCGAAGTCGTTGCAGCCGAATGGATGTTTGGCGGCATCGTTGTCATGGTCACGTGCCGCTGCTTCCGCTGGCTGCTGCAGTTGCGCGCACGAATGGACTAAATGTCGCCCATGCTCTGCGAGCCACACCGCAACAATTGTCAAACAAGCCAGAAAAATTGGCGGCCACTTTGGCAGGCACTTGGGCTTGAAAATGCAGCTGCAGGCGCTGCGGTTCGCCAATGATAATTTTCGCTGCTGAGCATTTGACACAAGGGAGTGGAAAGAGGGGGGGTTGCAGCTTGTTCGAAATGCGTAACACGTTAGCACATTACAAGGTCAAGGCCCGACGCCATTGTAAATCAAAAAATAGTAGTAATAGTAGCATTAAAAGCAGAATCTACAAAATGTATTAAAGCATATTATATTGTGATTTCGTTATTTTTCCCTTTATCCGCGTTCTTCTGCTGCGTAAATTCCCATACAATTGGCACTCAAATTACTGTAAATATCGTATATACATACATACATACTTACATACACGTCTTCATCAGCACAAGCTAAGCTAACTGTTTTACCGTTTCTTTTACAAGCGATCTCCATATCTGCACCAACAAAAAACACAGCATGCTAAACGTTTCATTCATTGAAATTTTAAGTCTTTTCGCACAACACATAATTTTCTTGTTTTCTTCACTACGTAAATTCGCGTACATATAAAACTATCGAAACAATCAATATTGAAGTTAAGAAGAATGATTAGGCACAGCCTTTGCATATATAAAACTTCCACACCGCTCGTGACGTCATAACATTTTCGAATCTCAACACTCAAACTTTGCTGCGAATATTGACTATTAAAATGTTCGGCATTAAATGAAAGAAGAATCCACTGAGCTGTTATTGGCACTTATTTAACTTTCACACAGCTTATGACGTCGTAGTATATGCAGCTCCACCAGAAGCCGAGCTCACAAAAAAACAGAAAACAAAACACACACAACAAGCGCGGCTCACCCGACTGCAGCTTGGCTGCATTTCTTACAACATTTTCTTTTGATTCGACATTTTATTTATTTAAATAGTCAGCATTAAAGGCAAGAATCTACTAATATGTTATTGATAAATAATGGGGACACAAACAATTTATGTTTTCTTCACTCGCGAGCATGCAGAACTATCGATACTATGCTTATCGATATAAGCACGAAGCCAAATGCACATGTTCAGTTATCGATAAATATTTCTTGAACTCCCACACAGCTGCATCACAGCACTATTTTTTCTTATTTAATGTAAATGGGAATAAAAGTAAGGTATCAAAAGTTCTGTCACACAAAAATAATTAGTTGATGGCTCAGAAAATAAATTTGCACCCTTATACAAGTACTTACAGCAATATCAATGGCCATGGAAATGACAGGTTCACCAAGACGCCCCCCCCCCCCCCCCCCCCCCAACCCCTCGACGATATCGCTAGGAAAGTTATTCTTCTTTGGCATTTGTTCATTTGACTTGGGCGCTGCTTGAAAGGATTCGCTGAGACAGTCAAATTTTCGCCAGATTTCTTGACATCACCTTTTTTAATTGCTTTCGGCGCGTTGGCTGTGCAAATTGACGTGTGTCTGACGAAAGGGCAAAGGTTAACACGGAACGAGGTTAAAGTTACGCATCGATGCCACCCGACGCGTCACCTTTGATGGGCGGCTAATTAGCGACAAGCTGGTGAAAATTGTTTGCTAATTGGAAAATTAAGATCTAATATTGTCTTTAATTTCAGAGCATTCAAATTTAAGTGTAGAAACCACTTTCGGCTGGATTTGTAAAGAAAATGCTGTGGCCCAAGCTGTGCGTAGATATAGAATTTCCTTATATATTACTGATTCTTTTCCATTTTTAGCTGAAAATTATCCAAACAAATTCTGCGATTGTTTATGCCGGTATTTTTTGTTTGTTACTGATGGTCTCTGCATACTAAATTTTCATATTTGTGTGCCAGAGATGTTAAAAAAATGGCTGCTACAACCTGTTGCATGCCACAAATTTGTATGCTACAGCCGGAGGCCAGCTCTCCATAGAGCTGAGCATCCTTCTGAACTGCAACAGCTCGAAATAGTTCAGATCTGCAATCCAAACTGCAATTTCGAGCTAATAAACTGCAGTCAAATGGCAGGCAACTGGCTCGCCTTTATGCCCTCTAGGACTGGACCTCGGACTTCGGAGTGCGGCCCGGCTTGGGGCCAGAAGCTTGCTGCAATTTTATGGCAGCTGCATCGGAAAAAGCAAAAAGTGGGCGGCAACCAAATCGCAGTCACCGTTGAGCGTCATTAAAGACACGCGATGCGGGAAATGCACGTAATGGAACTGCACAGCAAAACGGACACTGGAACAAACCGCATTTGATGGCAGCTAAATGCATGGCAAGAAGCAGGCAAAGCAACCCAAGGATGGCGGCTAAGAGTAGAAAGGCCAAAGGAAGTCGGCAAAATAAATTGGGTTATGTCTTTGGCCAGTTCAACTGGGCATTGCATAAATTTGTAATTGCATTTGCAAAATATGTAAATTGGCACATAATTCTACGTTGACCCATATTTCACCACATATGCGCATATTCAGTAGCTCTGCTATGTATTGCTGTATCTCTATATATTTTAATTTGTTAACACTTAGGCACCTTTTATTTAAAGTGTTGTTTCCCTATTAATCTTTGTATTTCCTTAACTACGTAAAGCTCTACTCGTTATGCGTAACGAGTCGGGTCTTCATTTAATTTAAAAGATTTTTAACATATTTTACGTTATGTCTGGCAGGTTAGTTGAGATTCTGTTTTGTATAATTCGCTATTCTCATATATCCACAAAAGGGAAATGCGTAGGCATTACTCTTGTAGAAGAGTATTATGTCTTCGGCATGTATTATATCTCGTTTATATTAATCGTGTAATCAGTTAGTGAGACACCTTTAGTAGCTGCTATAATTCAACTTCATTTGTTAATTTTGTTTTATTATAAAACTTTAAACTGCTAAAGATCGAAACAGGTGAGTGTTAAATAAAAAACTATACCCAATTTTGTCATAATATCCCAACGTCTTTTTCCTTTTAGGTTCTTCTCTCAAACAGCTTTCAATAAAACTCAGGACCTGCTGTGGCCAAAAAATTATAAATCCATTAAAAGAAAAACCATAAAATTTCAGGGAAGCGCGCGTAAGGCAGTAAAAAACAAATGCTACCTAAAAAAAAAAAAAATAAGGAAAAGGCTAAAAAAATAAGGCGAAAAAGTGTGGAACTTTCTTGTTGCGGCACCGAAGGCTGTGCAAATTTAAATGGAGACTCCAAATTTAACTGAGGTTTTTTCATCCGAAAGCGAATGCGAAATTGTGTGGGAGAAAGATTTGATTTTTTGCTTTAACACTACTTGAGAAGGTCTCGAGCTGCAGTTGGAAGAGTGGAGAGGGCGAGCGAGAGAGCTGTTCGGTTGGGTTATCAAGATATCTTCAATTAGTTGAATGAATCAGGCCAGATACTTGTGGCAAGTGGCTCAATTGGCCCAATTAGGCTGCTGTAGCAGCATTTTCATTAGCCAAATGCACATTTTATGGCCCAAAGTCATTTTCAATTAGCGCATCTCTTGCCAGACGACATCTACAATATAATTTTGGGCCAAAAACTTTGTTTTATGACTTGTGGCTTTTCTCAGCAAAAATAAACATTTACGTAATGCTCACAGTTTGTCTCTCGTTCGCATGTTATGCAAAAGTTGGTAATGCCTCCTGACCCACCCCCTCTCTCTCTCTCGCGCACCGAACAGCCGCACAAAATCTCAGCCCTCAAAATCCTGTTTTATGTCGCTTTGCCCCACAAAAAGTTGCCGCAGTAATAAAGGAGATTACCTACACATAACATGTGAGTGGGCTCCAAAGACAAATATTATTTTATATATAGTTTTGTTCTTCTTCTTCTTCTTCTAGGACTACTACAACTATTCTCTGCACTTTTTGTGCCGCTCGACGAGACACCACAAAAGCCAAAATCACTGAATGGAGCCGCCTTTGAGCCGCAACTGCAGTTGCAGCTGTCTGAAAGAAAATTTGAATTTTAACTGCCTGAAGCTGAATCCAATGCTAAAAATAGCTCTAAACGGGCTTAATGCGATGCCTAAGCGCAATAAATAGCTAAAAACGTTGAAAGTTTCAGCTATTTTCGGCTGACAACCTCTGGAAATCGCCGCAGATGTATTTTTTTTTTGTTCAGAAATGCATTTAAATGTGTCCAGAAATTCAAGTGCATTTGTTTCTTTTTTTCTCAGGCAAGGCTCAAGGATTAACCCAAATTACAATGGATAGCCGTAAAATGGTCTTGGCTGAATTTTCTTGGCCTGGCAGGGCATGAGTTGAATGTAATCCATGCAAAAGCAGCCAGATGAGGCCTGCGAGACTTATTTTACTGGAAATGCTCAAGACAATGAATACGCACTCGAGACAAACAAAGCGAATTTAAAGTATTGTATATAGTCGAGGCTAAAGAGGAAGGCGGTCAATTGACATTTGAGGCAGACAAAATATGAACCCACTATAAAAAATATATATCTTGTATATATATAGATGATTTCTTATTTATATGTGTTTGTAATTAATGGAAAAACATTTATGTTCATATAATTATAATTATAATAATTGCTCAAAATAGAAGAAAATAATAATATTTATCAAAATTAATAATAGAAATTTTAGATATTATTTTGTTTTCAATTTAAGCCAATTAGTAATTGTTGCCTTTTGCAAATCAACTAGCCGTTATTCTAATATAAATATACAAAAATAAGTATTATATATATTATACTGCCATAAAATTTGCGACCAAAAATGGCTGCTGGTTGCAAAAAGTCGTTTTGCTTAGTTTTTAATTGCAATTAAAAAGTTGTGAGTGTCGTAAGAGTAGACAGGCACATGCTTCACACTCGCCCTCTCGGACCGTGTCTCCAAGGTCCAGTGGCAGTCATAATGACAATGCCAAACAGCGTACAGCTGGAAGAGAGGGCAGTCTTATACTAAGGATGTAGATGAAAGTCAATCCCGCCCGGAGGAACCACAAAATGGCCATGCAACAAATTTGTTAGCATAAAACAAGCACAGCTAAAATCAAGTTTCTCTCTCTCTCTCTCTCTCTCTCTCTCACTTGCCCTCTCTGGACTTGTGTTCTCTGTTTAGCATTTTGCACAGTCTTGAAGTGGAAACTATTTTAGTGACTGTCCAGGCTGCAGACTTAATGATTTTTGGCTTAAAGTTTACCAGTTAGCAGTATTTTTGCAAGTAGTTAAAATTTTATGAGGCAGCGCCGTCCCCGAGGCATTGTTTTTGCATACATGCTCTCTCTATCTCTCTCTCTCTCTATCTCTCTCTCTCTCTCTCTCTGGCCAGCTTCATATCTTATATGGTATATCAACGGCGCACAGAATACGATGAAGCACATGAAAAAAAAAACAACCGAAAATAAAATGAAAACTTGATAAAAACTTTTATCATAACAATTTGTGTTGTACTGCGGTCCGGGAACAATGGACCAAGTGTTCCACATAGTGAAGCAACTTTTTTTGTCAGTGTGTGTGTGTGTGTGTGTGTGTGCATTGCCCTGCGCCTAATGAGAAAAGTGTAAGTGCAACTTTTACAGAAACCAAGACGAGGCTAAAGAAATAAATACGAAAGCTTCTCTTAAGTTGAGTAACAAATAAGAAGAAGCACGAAATAGTTGTGTGTAGGCAAGATGTTTAGAATTCAAGTTGTAGATTTTGAAAGATATAAAGATGGATATAGATATGAATATATGTAATTATAGCTTACAGTTGAGACATCGATCATTTGATTATTTAAAGTAAAGCACATTAAACTCAGGCACAAAAGCTCTCAAGCTGTAAGTAGACACTTTCCCCCATTAATTATAAGATATTCTCATCGTTTGAGAGCCTTTACAATCACACGCAGCAGCTCTAAAACTGTAATGTAGTAGATCATTTAGTCGAGACACACAACCAAAAAAATCTTTTGTATACATTTGCACTATTTTGTAATGATTTATATTAAATATTATTAAGTATTTAATTTGTAACAGCAAATAGATTTTGGTTACAGTCAACAGTTGCCCTCAAACTGTCTTGTATAAGATCAGCTTAGCCGCGACACGAACCCGCAAGCTGTTTGCGTCGTGCGCAAAGCTTTCACCTATATTTCGTGATTCGCCCTGCCGACGTCTTTGAGCCAACAATAAAAAAAAAAAAAACAACGATCGACGCGGTTTTGCGTTGCCTGGCACAGTGGGACAAAGTGGCAGCAGCCAAACTCCAAATCAGGTTTATAATTATTTATGGAATTTGTAAAAGTATAATAAGAAAACAAAAGAATAGATAGTTGTATGCCCTGCAAATATAAATTCTTATATATATTCAGTTGGCAATACCAATTTCTAATATATCCTACTGTTAATTAAAATATAGTAAATATTCTTTCCGCTTTATCAAATACGATTTTCAGTATTTGCTACGTTTTAATTTCAAGCGTTTTACGTGCGGCAAATTAGGCTTATTTTACTCTATTATTATTAAGGCAAATATAATTTTGTTCGATTTTATAAAAAAACATCCCACTGTGCACGGCTGAAGTCAAGTTCGCCATAAAACCCTCCGAGCTGCGCCTTGGCTCACTCAGTTGGCTGCTGGCGCTTTGCCCAAGCGATCGTCGGTTCACTTAACAGCTTTGCCCATTTAATACGCACGTAATACAAAAATAACAATAATAACAATAATAATAATAATAATAAGTATTAGTAATAATAACGGGTTTTTTTTCTTACGTTCGGCATTAAATTTCGGTTTCGTTTGCGTGCGCGTCAAAGTGTCTAGCGGAAGTGTCCAGCAAAACAAGAAGAAGCAGCCTTCAGATGAGATCTGAAGAGGATTCTGCAATAAAAAATTAACAATTATATAATTTGAATGCTTGGGAAATAGCCAAAAGATCAGCCTTGAATGTGCGGGCCAAAAGTTAAAGTTGAATAAAAGCAAAGCAAAGTTGTTTTTGGCCGGTTCAAAGCGGTTACAACTGGCTGCCAGTTACAGCAACAACAACAACAGCAACAATAACAGCAACAACAATAACAGCAACAGCAACAATAACAGCAACAGCAACTGTTAATCAGCATAAACTTAATTGTAGCCAAGTTAAAGACAAATAAGAGAAGAAGAAGCAGACGCAGGCAGCTTTAAGTCAAGCAGCGGAAGCTTTTGACATCAGCAGGCGCAACAACAGCAACAACAACAACAACAACAGCAACAACAGTTACATTTAACAGTTAAAGTGCAGGTAAAGCCCAGCAAGTTCTCAACGGTCCATTGCAGCAGCTGCGCAAGCGCGTGACTCGTTTGCCCACTGTGCAAATGGGTTGTATGTGCGGGGAGGGGGGGTTCAACCCAGGGACAACTGCCGCTGACAGCATAAAAGCCCAGCATAAAATGCTACGCTAAGGTTAGTTTTAATTGGCTCTGATGAGACTTGACAAAAGCTTCAGCTGCTCGAATTGAGTGGGCTTTAACTGAACCCTAAATATGTAGAGTATTAGATATATAGATATAGATATAATATACTCATTAGTTAAGCAACTTACTTAAACTTGTTACATTTGGTAAATCAGGAAGTCTCAATATATACACTACTAGCATAGTCTGGCCAATTCTTGACAAAAAGATATAAAGTCAAGAAGAGTATATCAATTGCATAAATCCCTTAAAAAATAAAATTCAAACAGAATCCAAGCTTTTCACTCATGAAGAGTATATAAACTTCGGCTATACAGATACTCTTTTTTAAATGTGGTTTGTAAATTCTCTTTTTTCTTTTTTTTTCTTTTTTATTTTAATTAATGTGTTTGGCTTGTGACGTATACGCAATGTATACAACATGCTCATTAATATTTGTATTTTTGTAGTTTTTTTTGGGGGGGGCTTTTTGGCGACGCGGGTAACAAGCACGCCATGAAACACGTTTTTGCATACTAATGCAAAGCCCCGGATATTGGGGGATTATCAAACTAACAAGCGTCAATTGAACTGGTTTACGGGCCTGAAGGTGATGGATAGGGGGGGGGCGGTCTATTAAACATGAAACAAATATTATTGTTAATAATGAGCATCAAATGGATCAGCCAAATCCAATTGGATTCTATAAATAAATAATATAAAATAATTATATAAAAAACTATTTTATAATATTAATATAAATGTTTTATATAAATTAAGAAAAATAAATAAGGATAGATGGCAAAACAAATGCAATAATAATATAAAAAATATTATAAAAAGAACAAGATTCCCCAAAAAAAAAATGATCAAATAACTAATAAGGAATTTAAAAAATGAACGAGTTCCTCAAGAAATGAAATTGCACGAAACTTCGCTGAGAGTAATTCGCATTGCATCCGTTTCTAGAGTTGTCCGAGCAACTTTCAAGTTGTACGGCTTGAAACTAGTTAAAACCGTTCTTAACTGATTTCGTACGCCAAAAGTGACGTCAGTTTTGAGAATCTGTCGAAGCATGGTACTCGAAAACCCACATAATTTAACATAATTTCAGCTTGGCTGATTCATCAACTGAAGTTGATTTAACATTGTTTTCTGTTCTGCTTCTTCTTTTGCTCATTATACAAACCGAAAAAAAAATAATAAAAATATTTTAGGCAGAATTTAAAACCTGTTTTTCCCAATTGTACCAAAACATGTGGTTTTTTCTTTTTTTTTTGACTTTCTATCTTTTTTTTTTGTGCAGGAATTTGTTTGAGACTATTTGAGACAGCGTTCGTTTTGTTGAAATTTCCTACAAATTAATATTAGCTTGTTAAATTAATTATATTCACATTATTTTGTCAGTTTTTGGCGAGCATTGCCCTAGCCCTGATCTACTTATAATTACCTGGGAAACGGACTGTGAATATTTGAATGTGGGCTCGAAGATTTCAAAGCTTGCAAGAGCTGAATTGAAGAGCCTGATCATAAGTAGTTTGAAGTTTTTACAATATATCTTCTTTATTATTCAGAGCTTAAATTTCTTGCATTCCAAAATTTTTAGTAACAAACGTAAAAGTTGGGAGATCTACGGCATGCCGAACATTTAATACCCTTTTAGATATTTGTCTTACGATTTTGATGCGTGTTTGATGGAAATATCTTGGAAAACAGAAAAATTTGCCAAATAAGAACCTTCTTTTCAATCGATCGATCCTACGGCAACTATATGATATAGTACACCATGTTAATAGATATATATATAGATATAGATTATGCTCAATTTTACTTGATAAACACATAAGCTTACCTTACGATAAACTAATTTTCGACCGAACGTTCCTAAGGCAGCTACATGATATAGACGTCCGATGTTGAAAAGATTAACCATATATGTAGGGAACATAGTAATTCTAACAAATTCTTAGTTTGGAACAGAAAAAAATCATAGAAGTACTTAATTTGCGACCGATCGATCTTAAGGCAGCTTTATGATAAAGTGGTCCGATTTAAAATATATATATTCTTTATGAAGTCGGAGCTGTCTCTATGCGTT